ATTTATTCGTCCAAAATTGACGAATTCCGTGGCATTCCGCGCTATAGTGTAAATTGCGTTTTTATGAATGGCCTCCACGATCCCGTCCGCGTTTTCGCAGAAACCATATGGCCCTAGAAATGTAACCACACTTCAGGATAGTTCGGTACCCAACCCTATACATACACTGTTCGCATCGCCGCAGTTTACTGGATTTCGCTGGGTCCATCGCTAAGGGACGGAGCGAGATGGAAAATGAAAAACGGCACTTTCCGCAGCAAATAAACCATTTCTTTGGTATTCATATCTCCAGAGGGCATCTGAGCAAAATAACTATAGCTTTCGGGTAGCTTGTTTCACGCTTTTTGCGTGACCTTGAATCTCATGCGATGCTTAGTGCGTTTTTTGTAATTTCCCATCTTGCCTTGTTCACCATGCACATAAATATATGAAAGCCTTTATTTGTTTTGTTTGTTTCTTTCTTTCTTTCTTTCAGGTCTGTATTTAGGTTTTAATTCATGGCTGTGCAGTAAAAGCAATGTTTTAGCCTCTCTCACTTTGTTTGTGAATTTCAATGAGGTTGCCTTGCCTCCACCAAAGCCTTTTTGATTGCTTTCCCTGCTTGAGTATCTCTGTAATATCATTTGAATGTCACCACTCATATGTGTTTGTTTCATATGGGTCCCTTCATCTATTGCATGTAAAAAAAACAGGAGAGAAAAGACGATGCGTGTGCACGAGAGAAAAGCAGATTACCTAACAAAGGGCAGACTGATTTGAAAGCAGGATATTTCGCTAAGAGTCACAGTGGAGGTTTGTCAAACACAAATGCAGTATGCTGCTTATAAAGGCAATTTCATTTACAAAGGAGATATAATCAGTCTGTATCATTTTGGACACAAAGCGTGAAGAAGAAAACATCTTCAGTTCTGCCTCAGCCTAAAAGCGCTTTGTAATTTGTCACCTTTTGAGTTGACTGAGTGCTTGGAAATGGAGAGCCCCCTAATTTTACGCTTGTGTGTAAAATATCAAGGATGGTGTCGAAGGTCAGAAACTCTCAGAAAATATGTTTTTCTGTTGAGTTTATGAAAAGTGACAGAATGGCATTCATTCTCCCGGTTTGGTCATTTATCATGTAAAGGCCTAATGTGATGCACAGCATTTGTAATACCCGTTGAAACAGCAAAATTGGTGTGGGCTGAACTGCAGGACCCATCATGCTTTTTGAAATAGCCAGCTACTTGTGCTTACTAGAGAAAAATATGATTAAATAAATAAAACAGGTTGTGTCTATCACAAAGGGGGTCGGTTCCTTTAATTGAAAGATGAAACTGGAAAATGCAACATAGGCTAGTAGTTAGCTAATGTTTAGGAAAATGATAGCTGGTCTAAACTGGTTATTTTATGGTCCAGGCTGGTCCATGGTGGTTAACATGCTAGCTGGTCATCCAGCTATACTGACCAGCTTGCAACACTTTATTCATAATCAGTTTAGAGCAGCTACCTTATTAAAAAAAAAAAAAAAAGCGAATTGTTGTTTGTTTTTTCAACATTGGCCACAATACTGAGTATCGATATTACAATTGTGGCAGACGTGATAAGGCAATAATTATTTCAATGTAATTTATATATTGACTGATGACCTAGAAATGGCTGATGATCGCTGTTTTTTAAAAAAAACAATCAATCAATCAATCAATCAATCAATCAATCAATCAATCAATCAGTTGTTTTATCAAATAATCAAACATTGTATAGTGTACGGTGTGCAAAGTGGATATTCATTTTAATATTTTAACTATGTTATTAAATTGTGTTTTTAAAGATTGAAAGTTAATTGACTACAAATTTGAATATAAAACTTGGAGAAATTAACATATGACATATCCAGTATCCATACGGATAACCAGTGTTTCTTCCATTTATTCTTCTCTGAGAGGTCCATGTCCATCTTCCTCTGCTCTTTCTGGTTCCTCCTGACACGTTTCTCATTCCAGCCATATCATCACTCATTTCCCATCTTTGAGAAAGTTGTTTACCAATTTCCTGAGTGGACTTGTAACCCCCCATCCCCCTTTTCTTGGCTTTTAAGGGAACGCTTACCCGCGCCCGCACCGAACTGAACCCCGACTATCTGGACCTTCGCTCTGGAGCCGAGCTGAACCCAGAGTACTGGACGCCCTGCACTCCTCTAGTGAGTAACCCCTGTTTAAATTGTTAAGATGGCTGCTGCTGAAGCACCATTATGGAGCTGCACAAATGCACTTTTCACCTGCTTGTTTGTATGTCTCCTCTGCTTACTGGTTTCTTTAGTGACCTCTCTAGCGATGGTCTCTTCACCGCTACATCATTATAACTGAGCTAATTTTACATAAACACACATACCTCCCTCCCATTGCTCTCATTACCTGAGTATGTGCAGGGATTTTTGTCTTCTGGGGATCGGGACAGTTTACTTGAAGCTTTACTTGCCACTGGACCTAATGATGCTTGTTTTTTGGTTTTACTTTTTTTCAGAGCTGTTATTTAAGCGTTGTGCAGAAATAAATTGCATATACGAGCTTGAAGTCTTAAAATGTCTGTTGTGGCTTTTCAGAAGAATATAGAGTAATTCTGTGTCAAATCAGCCAGATTTCAGAAACTTCTCCGGCTCAAATATTTGATTTTGCTAATATTTTTTTCTGAAGAAAGATAAACATGTATAGTGATGAAAGCTAAAATATTAAATGTCATGGATGAATATTTACTGAGTAATCCACTATATTGTAGATGGGGGTCAAAATGGCAATTTTCACCTGAGATTCAGAGCCATATTACAGGGGGTTAAAATGAATTCAGAAAGATGGCAGCATCATAATGTTACTTTTACACAGAGATTGGTAGGTCTATTAGTAAACTCTGTTGATTTTAGCAATCTTTGTTGCATTATGTGTCCATGGTGACCGTTCAAAAATGGGGAAAGATCACCAAGTTTTTTCTCCAAAGTTTGCATGCCTGTAACTCAAGATGTATTAAAGATATCTTAATGCCCTTTTAGATATTGAGTCTTAACACACTTTCTTTTTGGTGTCTTCATTTTAAGGCTCTATATGGTTCAGTTCCAAAGATACTGGAATTTCAATATGGCTCCAGGAGTAAATTGATAAATTGTACACATCTTCAGTGGTCAAAAACCAAATGTGGGTCACATTTTTAACCCCCTGTAATTTGGCTCTGAATCTCAGGTGAAAATTGCCTTTTTGCCCCCCCTCTACAAAACAGTGGATTACTCAGTAAATATTCATCCATGACATTTTATATTTTGGCAAAATCAAAAATTTGAAGCGGGGACCTCTAGTTGAGTTGACACGGAATGATTCTATAATGCTCTGAAACTGCTAATTGGAGACAACAGTTACATCAGTCAATGGTTGTCATTTTCAAGTCTTTATTGGAGCAATGTGTTATGTTTTGGACATTTTATCTGGAAATGAAAATGCTAATGCTAATTATTATGTTGTTTGATCAGGGTCAATTCGTTACTCCCTGTACATGCTTTCCTGACTTAGTTTGGGGACATTCAGATGATATACGTCCAGTCCTCGCCGACTGTTACCCTTTGCCCTGGCGGATTTAATACTCTCATCTGAAAAGTGTGTGCTCAGATGTAGTGAATGAAATCAAACACATAAATCATCCACAACACCTCTCTTTTCATTCTACTGAGTGCTAAGACTTAACTTGGGCTCCATATGTGTATGTGCATTTGTAGGTGGTTGAATGAGTTCACTATACTCCACAAGGTCTATGTGGGTGTGACGGAGACAGACAGAAAATAAGAGGGTGGTGAATGGAGAAGTAGAATATTTGCAGTGGAGAAGGCAATAGAGGAAATTCAGAAATAAACCATGACTGTAAGACAAAAATATAGGACTTGTTACTAACATAGGGACCTTAAGACTCTCGACATGCCCACTTTATAGTCATCAACACCCCTTCAGCTCCATCCAAAGAGCATGTATGGGCTGCACTGCATTCTTGATCAACATTTCACCCTATTTTTGCTCTCATCTTCCTTTTTTCCTCATGTCAACTGCTTTCTACTTCCAGCAGGATTGCAGGGAATATGGATTCACCCTGTCTGCGGTTGGAATATTTTCCTGGGCAGTCGATGAGATGCTAGAAATTACCTGCATGCTTCCAGATGTCATTATGCATAAGAGTAGCTTGGTGTGCAGCAAATTACAGTGGTTTTTCAGTGGAACCGGTCTTCATCATTGGAGTGTGAATAGTCACTTTCATTTTGGGGTGAACTGTCCATTCACACTCATTGCTCTCTTATACAGAAATAAACACACAGATACTTGTCTAGTAAATAAAATTAAGGTTCAACATCTAAAAAGGCTGGTCTTGAAGGTCAGTGTTTCAAATGGGTGATGGATTGTGTGTTAGGTAGGTACCATGTCTGATGGCTTTCAGGACCTCAGTTCGAAGAAGCTACAGTAAAGGGATAGTTAACCTAAAAATGAAAATTCTGTCATCATCATAGTCAGTGGATAACAGCAATTGTTTGGTTACCAACATTCTTCAAAATATCATCTTTTTCTGATCAACAGAAGAACGAAACTTGAGCAAGTAAATGATGATAGATTTTCAATTTTGGATGAACTATCCCTTTAAGAAGAAATAATTGACTATATTCTGATTCTTTCCACTGAACGGATGATGTGTTGAATATTGCATTTTTCTTTGCGAGTGGCCTGTTACAGATTGTTATTGGTGAAGTGAGGGCAGACTCAATAATTCAAGTGTAGATCTAGACCACCACACTGAGGCTAGTTTAGTGTTTACCTCCCATTCAAGGTTGTCATTTGGTTATAAATCTTACAGTAGGGTTTCAGAGGGGTGACTTGTTGTGACAAGAAGTAAAGCCCGACTGACCCCTGATGTGAACTATCCTGTCCAAGTCGAATAACTTTATGGGGTCCAGCAGGCTGTTTCAAAGTAGGTCAGAACAAGTTGCTCAATTGTCGATAGGACCGCCGAATGGTCATGAGTTTGAAGTCATTAAAGTTTCTTACTGTCCCTGGGGACTAGAACAATAGCTGATCTTTTAAAGCAGGTTGAAGCAGAATAGAGCTCCAGCAGGTGGCAAAGAAAGTTAGGAAACCTGTAGCTGGTCAGCAGTGTGCTTCAAGGACTGTCATTATCTTTCCTCATGATAATTGTGGTCTGGTGGCCTCCCTTTTGTTCTTGAAGTTCTCTTGGTTATATGCACAGATGCACCGAGCCACAGTTAGTTCATTTTCTTTGTGCACCAAATGCATTTCGTTCTTTACAAGCCGGTTTGATAAATGGCTTTGTAAACCAGCCGGAATCGTATTCTGTTGAATTGCTAATGGGATTAGAGCTGTATTATGAAAAGGGTTGTTTTTAGAGAACATATTGCTTGTTGTCCGGAGGTCAGAGCGAATGTGCAGTATATCTTGTACCTTCCTCTGTCGTCTCTCAAAGGTCAGCAGTGTGATTAACCTCAGGTCAATTACACCCAAGATGCTACACATAATCCGTTAGAATGCATTAGTTTGGGGATAAGTGCATGAGGCAACCAGTCTTACTGATCGGACGTGTTCCTTCAGTTTCAGCGGCAGCTCTGCTAATATGTTGTGTATCTCGCCAACTGTCAGTTATTTCTCCCCTGAGCATTTAGAACAATATTACGACCGATATTAGTTATTGAAATAAGACGTAATTAACACAAAACCAATTGAGTTCATAATGGAGTTCATCCCTCTTTATTGCTCTGTAATCAGTTGCTGTTCTCACCTCAGGACCACGGACAGAGGGGAAGAAGTCAAGCACAGTAAGTCAACAGTACACTTCAGAGCGTGTCAATAAATGGTCCTTCATGCCTTACACCGTCTTCGAAATAAGCCGGCTTCTCATTACAGAAAACATGGCTAGTGCATGTATATCTTCACTAGCAATGGACAGATGGGATAGATTCATTGCTTTGCTGCTCAATAAGTGGCTGTCGCAGTGGAACGCAGAGACTTGTCATTGGGCATCTGCCGGGACGAGCCCCAGGTGCATGTACTCATGCTTCACAGGCAGAGATGAATCATGGGATTGATTATGAAGTCATTCCAGGGTTGTGTGACCGTCATAGCTGCTGTTCTCCTCTGACATGTCCTGGAATATTCATGAAGTGGAGTTAGGCTGTGTCTGAGGAGTCCTGTCAGCAGGGAAGAGAAACATTTCTGAGCTTGTAGGGACATGCTTGAGAAGGAAAAATGGCAACTTTGAATTGCTTTTTCATGTATTTGCACGCGTTATTGAATTATTGACCTTCTGTCGGGACAAGGTGGTTTGAAGACAGACTAGGGCCAATTTGTTCATTCCGGTGAGAGGGAAATGACCGAACTGAATGATGACTGGCCCTACGGTAGGTGCTGATTAGCAAGAGTGAGCGCTCTCAACGCTGTGACAGTGTCGCTCATTAGATGATATGAGGTACATTGACTCTTAGAATCCTGCTAGGTAGTTCAGTAATGAGAAACTGTAACTTTTGAGGTTTTTCAGACAGCATTTTATTTCTTTTGAATCGAGGATGTAACCAGGGCTGAGGGAGCAAATATGAACCTTTACGAATGGATCATTGATTAAACTTCCAAAGCCCTCTTCAATATTCATAACAGTGATGTTATGGCCCCGCTTCAGATGTTTTCCTCTCTAAAGTGGCTCTTAGAGGTTGGATGTGCTCCGAAGCTTCATGTCATACTTTGTGTACAAGAAAGATTGTGTCTAAGCGTTTTAGAAAGTTGGTCAATACTCTCAACATAGTGAAGGTGTATTTACTGTAAGACCTTTGTTAGGAAAGAGAGACCTCGTAAATTATGCATGTGTATAGAGCTCCCATTTCTGTTCTGAGCTATGGGATAGGAAATGGATCCCTTTCTTAAGTAAAGAGTGGGGATACTCCTGGGGCGAGGAACCTTTGCATTAGCGGGGTTGTCTGCATTGACTCTGAGTGCTGGAAGCTTCATACAAATCCTTTTCCATGCTGGGATAGCTAGCAACTGAGTTATCATTTAAACATCTTCATGTTATATTATTTGGAATAGAGCAGCATGAACTTTCTTCAGAATTTCTTCTTTTGTGAAAAGGCCCAGAAACACCAAGCTGATAATGTCAGGCTGTCGTTGAGTGTCTGTT